TTCTGTTCAAGTCCCACACCGGGTTGACGAAAAATTTTTCTGTTCCAAGTCCCACACTGGGTCGACGAAAAATTTTTCCGTGTGTTCGATCTTGTATTTATAATCTTTAGTACAATTCAGTTAGCTTCAATATTGTTTAAACAATTAATAAACTTTCAAACAATTAGATATGGCCGACTTCATGTACAACTCGAAATATCTGCAAATTTGATAAAATTGACTATGCAACGTGCCTGTCTGTCTATCCAATTGGACAGGTTTAGATTATTTGACGCTGACATTACAATACAGAACACTTATAAAAAACAAACCTTAATAATATTAATATACCTAACCATTCTAATGTAAGTAATATATTGACCTTATAAAGGCTACTTCATTGCACTTACTCACCCAGTATGATCTTATAAGCACTTGTCCATTGGACATACTTATACTACAAAAGTTTAGGTAATTAAATAAATATAAACAAACAGTAATGAAGTACTTTATGAGGTTTAACCTTACTTATTGTAAAATAACTTTTTGAAAATGGTTCTAAATAAATATATGATAATGTTTTCAAGTAATACACAACATTTCGAAATATCTATATAAAATAGTACTAAATATGTAATATAAATAAAGATGTTTAATAACACGTTTCACAACTTTCCTACGATAAACAACCTAAAATTTAAGACTTTAAAAAGACGACAACTAATACCATGCGACCAAATGAAACAGTACAGCAGTAATACGGCATATGAAACTCACTACTAAATATTGTATTTGACCGGTTATCCAAGTGACAGCTGAAGTTTAGTTAATTACCTAAACCTTTATACTATATCCCCAGTTAACCTTTTAGACTTGTCCATTGGACATACTAACCCCAATTAACCTTATAAAGACTTGTCCATTGGACATACTTACCCCGACTGATCTTATAAAGGTAATAAAACTTATAACTAAATACAATCTTCTTTCTTGAGGTACAATAAATGAAACTCGTAGTCGTTTTCTTCATTATTTAGTCAAATTCATTTAAAACTAAAGAACATTGGTACAATGTTGTTATAAAATTTAACTTAAGAATTGTCTTATCATTTAACTGGTTATACTTTTTGTTATATACTACAGCGCGTTTTAACGGGTGTTGATGAAATATAAAATACATCCCTTTAAACACGAACGGACATGACTTAGAACATTGACGGAAACGGTCTTTGTCTAATGGTTATTTTCACTTCTCATGCTCTTAAAATTCGTATTTATGCTGGGTGTAGACTGCATAAAATACGATTTTATGTTCTAGTGCATAAAATAGGATTTTATGTTCTAGTGCATAAAATAAAAACCATCACATTAAATATGTCTAATTGTTGTAATTTTACATTCAATTTTAATTAAATAATCGTTTACTTGTAATATTGCTGTTTAATTTCCTCGCAATCGAAGTGAAAAGCCGAGTGTATAACTCGTTCATAGAATCCATTTTACCCTCGACTTAAGTATCCACATATACTCATCTCGGGCAAAATGACGCGTTTTATGCACTTGTTGTACAATCTACTGTGTCAATGTAAATTATTTAGTGCTTAATAAGTGTTTTTATATTATAATTTGCACTTTGACGTTGGATATGTAAAACGTCTAACGATCATTCGGAAAATATTACAGAAGAGCGATTTAAATTTTTTGTTATATGGAAAACTAGAAGTTTCAGCTTGTCTATACAGCAAATCAAATTAATAGTCCATTAGTTTAGATACTTAACTAAATGTAAACAATCTTGATACATCTTTTTATTGAAACATATATGTAGTTTACAAATGAATAGGTATAAAAAGAGGCATACAATTTCATATGAACTAAGTATTTGTATTTTGTATCTGAAGGTAAGTAAAAATCATTTTATAAATCTATATTTCATTAAATAAACATGTCATGATTGTTTACATTTTGTTAAGTAACTAAACTAATGGGTTTTATCTTAAACAAATTACTTTAAATCGCATCTCTCCTGTAATCTTTTCCACATGTTATACGTTTTACCTTTCCATAGTCGATTTAGTAAATAAATTATTTGTGCCAAAAAATATATACTAACCTCGCAGGCCTATATTACTAACATCATAAAAAATAACTTTTGTTCCATGCTTTCATATAATTCATCAGATTTCACTTTTATAGAAAAGTAAACAAATTACTCTAAACGGTGGTAACTGCAAATGCAAAAAACAAATGCAAAACGCAGGAGTGTGGGGTGGCGAAGTTACTACTTTACTATAGATCTAAAAAGTGTTAGAAAGTATAATTAAGTATAAATTTTGTAAAAAGTCATGTAACAAAGTCGTTATTATGACGTCAGTAACACATTACGTCTATTCTAGTTGGAATAAGCGAATTGTTCAATGCAGTATAACCAGTTTCAAATCACTGAAAAAACTTTTTGGACCCTTTAATAGTAGCGCTTGATATTTAAGGTCAATATTATTTTGTTTATGACATATAGGCCTACCTTAAGTCGGCTCCTGAGGTAGCTAAGCGATGTGGAAGGGGTGGCAGTTTACGTAGCAGGTATGTCGCGCTGCATACGGGATAATTTCAACAAGATTTTTTTGACTATATTCCATAATAAGTAGATTGAAAAAAGTGCCGAATGGCTTGTCTATTCATTTCAATTATCAATGAAATATTTTTTTCACGTAACTACAATTGACTTCTATAACAAGATTCCGGTTGATATACAAAATTTGCCTTTCACGAGGTTTAAAACTATAGTGAAACAAAAACTTTATACTAAATGTTATTATACAACTTCTGCGTACTTGGATGACAAAAATCCGTGGTAGTAAGCCGTTTAGCTCATGGAGGTAGTCTCGATCTCTGATGTTTCAAATAAAAAAAAAATATTGTAAATGTTATTTACAAAGAGCAACCCCTAGAGTTTCTTGCTCATTCTTCTCAGGGGAATCTGCCTTACGAATGAGCGGTAGAGTTTAACTATTGTGACGATTTCAAGTGTAATAATGCTTACCTATGAAATAAAGATTATTTTGAATTTGAATTTGAATTTGACTAATTTGGTAGGGACATCTCCAGCACCATGCAGCTACCTCAGAAACCGCCTCAGTTAAGCGGTAGGCCTGTACCCATAACAGCAGTGCCAGTCAGAGCCTGAAGTCGCAAAGATCGAGATGCACTGCCACTGCCCCCGTCATCATCAGATAAATTGACAAATACTGCTATACTGTTAGTAAATGAAAGAACTATTATGAAATCTTGCAACACTAAAGGGTCCACACCAGTGGCGAGGGGGCCTCAATGTCCTATGTAAATTTTGAGACTCGTGATATATCACTAAATTACTATTACTACAGCCCAATTCGATGTAGAATAAACGTCAACAAAACATGATTTTTAGGATTTTCAAATCAGACTGTTTTTACGGTTGCCACAATTTTATTATTTTTCATTTACCAGTAATATTATTGGGATAGGGATAGAATAAGATATAATTGATCTATTGTAAATGTGCACTTTTTTAAATAAGCGATTTTTTTTATGTTTGATATATATATTAGTTGTTCCGTCTATATTAGTCGATCTACGGATAAATTATAATTGAACTGCATTCAAGCTAACACTATATTTTGTTTAAGCTTACTAAATTAATGTTTGGTATTTAAAGATAATATTTGTTCCTCTTTTTTTTAGTCTTTTCTTTTACGAATGATGTCATTTATAACCAGTATATCTTTTGATATCGAGCTCCTAATAAATCTTGGTTGTTTGGTTGCGCTCTCCATTCAGTAGGTTAGTATATAAAAAAGCAGCACGAGCCGAGCGAGCGTGACGCGGCAGCAGTCCTTTAGAGTTATTAGCCCATGACAATAGAGAATTCCCTGTGTCAGAGCAACGCAATTAATTCCAGGGATACTAGGGAGCACCCAGACCGGAATCAAATTAGAAAAGACCATTTCCCCAATTTGTTGGGCCACAAAGATCGTCACAAGAAAAATCTGTTTCTCTAGTGAAAAAGGTACAAGTTAAAAAAGCCAACTTTAGAAGGAGGCGCGATAAACAGTTAAAGATTATTAAGATATTAAGTGTTTAAGCGTTTTTCGAGTTTTCTTGTAAAGTTTGCTTTTTTACTTGCACCCCTTTTTCACTAGTGCCACAGAAATATTACCGTGGTAAAACCCGCAACTAGTGATAATAATTTAGTCTCCAAATTAATCACAGTGTTTGAACCGAATATTTTTGCATTGCAATATTTGCTGTGTACAGTCTACACTATTTTTGAATATATACCCGTCGCCACTGGTCTATACAGAGCAATTTAAAAATAAACCCGCGAAACCAGTCACCGTTAATATCCTGCCATTAAAACAAATAAGATTTGTTCTCTGCTTGTAATTTCTCAAGTTTTTTTAAGGGCGCATTCCCATTATGTTGTAACGTTTTATTTATCGTTAGACGACTGTCGAGTCTAGCCTGTTCCCATGTCACGGCTATCGGACGTGCCTGTGTCGTGGACGTTTATTTTATCGTTTAGCGACTGTCGTGTCTAACTGTTCCCTCTACATCGTGACGACGATTTATCGGTTCACGACAGCCAGGCAGTTCGTATGAAGCTGCGATTATCTGTCGTCGCATTTTTATCGTGACGTTTTATTTATCGTCGGACGACTGTCTTTCTAGCCCTTTCCATTGTCACGACAGTCTGTCGTCGTAACGTCAAAAAGTCACGACAGTTAATCGTGTTGTTTTATGTGTGAACAGCTTCATTTAAATATACAAGCCACGGCACTTTAAACTGCACGACATAATGGGAAAGCACCCTAAGGGTCGTATTCTAGAACTCTACTCAATGCTCAAGTCAGGATTGCACTGGAAACACAAGCACTGGAAATATGACCCTAATGGCAGGGACTTGAGTATGATTTCGAGTGCTTTAAACCGTACTCAAACCCTGACTTGAGCATTGAGTAGAGTTCTAGAATACGACCCTAAGTCTGCAATATATGTTGACCGAGCCTGAGCCAACGCGAGCGTAGGCAAACTGATACACGGCTAGCGCTAGAGCAATACAGACGGTCAATGTCAAGGAGACGAGTTTTGTGGACCTGCCTACACGTTGGGCGCTGTCAGTTTTCATTGTGCATTGAAACCATATGGACGACGTAGAATTGAAACTTACATTAACATTTTGAAACTTTGGAAATGAATCTATTTTTCGGATTTAAATTGCGAATATTTATCAATCAGGATAGAAAATTCAGTCATAAAATGACTTTTTTATTTGTGTTCGTTAATTTTACTTACATTGCGAGATTGCTTCTTTTTCCTCGAATAAAGATTTTGAGCAGAAATAGGTTTGGGCAAAGATGCTATTAACAACTACTTCATTAACTTAACGTACCAAATTCAAAACTTCACCGAGTGATCCCCTCCCAAAAACCTCCACGGTATGAATATTACTGTATGGAGCAAGTAGCTGCGGTCAACTTAGTGAGAGCAAAATGTAATATGCAAACTTTCCCTATCCAAAGATGTAAACGTAAATATTATACTGTTAAAACCCATCCACTGCCCACACTTGGTCCGTGTTTGGGCACGAACTGTTACTATTCTATTTTGTATCAACTTTTAATGGCAGAAATATGTGAGAGGTTTTCAGGGTTGATAAGAAGACCCTGTATACACGAAATGTGTATTTACATATACACGAAATTAAATCTACAAAGACTCTGTGATAGCGAAGAGATGATAGGCCCATACCCCTGGGCGTTATCGTATAGTTCAAATAAGGGTGCCGCTACCAATTTGTAGTTCTTAGGCACCGCGAATAGGGCTCGATCTTGAAGTTGTACGAGGAACAACCGCTTGTGTTCCTTCGGTTTTGTTATGTGGGGGGGAATGTAGGGGTATTGTGGGGGCTCGAAGTTCGGACGCCACCAATTACCTGAAAACAAATGTAACTTCACAAAGTGGAGTCTTAAATGCAGTAGGTTCTATATACGGGTGATCTTCAGGTTAATTTCCTGTATTTAATTTCGGCGACAATTTTTATTATTTAAATATTCGAATGCAGTATCCTGAAATATTATTTCTTCTTCTTTTAAATGTTATGGCCGTTTCGAAGTAATCGCTAATTTCGTCAATGTCAAGTTGAGGAACACACAACGACAAAATTCACTGAGAGGAGAATCTACAAGGACAGAGAACCTACACAGACTATTACAGAAACAAATTGTATGTTTTATAATAAATTTGCACAGCACATGCACAAAAGGACGTGGACTAATGTTAGGATATAACATTTCACAACAATATACTTGAATATTTAAATAACAAAAATTGCCACCAAAATTGGATAGAGAAAAACAAACCTGAAAATTACCCATACGCTTCCAGCCCTTTCATTAGTATCAACTTCTTTATCAGTGATGCAACAGGCTTCTGCTTCAGCAACTGCGGAAGTTCCACATCTGTTTCCGCAACTTTTATTACGGAAGTTTACAACATTTGCGATGCATCAGGCGCTAGTACGGATTACTTGGCAGTGGAGTGCGCGGTTTTTAGTAGTTATATGTTGTGTAATAATTGCACTTAAACTATGAAACCAAAATCAAGGCCTGTTGGGAACTATTTTATTGAGGTCTTCATATTTACACTTCTGCTGCCGCATCCGCTTCCGTTTCCATTACGACATCTGTTTCCATTATGATACTTCCGTTCCATCGCTAGTTTATAAAGGACTAGGCTATAGGCTGAGTAAATAAGTGGAGCAAATTGATTATGTGAACAGGCCTTTGTATAAAGACTGTACCATGAATTTAAACTTAACTCACCAATTGTGTCCTCAATGAGCCATTCTTGTTTAACGCCATCCTGCCTACCCAGGGTCTCTGTTAGAAGCCTCTTTAAACCTTCAATTTCATCCTGTAATATCATATCGTCACGTTTATTAAAAAATATCTAATATTAAATCTGGGAATGTAACACTTCTTATGGAGTAGAGAATATTTTTCATTTAAAAAAAAATAATAATTTGAAAGTAAAAAAAATTACTGAATGAAATTTTTAAATTGATATTCTCGTTTAAAAATGGATTACAAATAAACATAAATAATCATGTTCACAATAAGATTGATTGTTTTTTTTTTAACTTTCAAATTGTGTTTTCTCTCTTCCACCGATCATTGAGTTACGACAGTATTTGTTTTTAAGTGCTACATAATGGTCACATTCCATGAAATGTAGCATATCTTCTAGTTTGGTACAAAATCAACATGAGCTCTATGGTGTGATGGGCTGCTGTCTGCAACTCAATGTCCAGGCACCTATTTTGAGTTTGGTGGGTGCAGGATCCAACACAGGGCGCGCTCCCATTATGTCGTGACAATAGAAAGTGCTAGAACGACAATCGTCTGACGATAAATAAAACGTCAGATAATCGTAGCTTCAAACGATTCTGTCGTGCGAACGACAAGGCGGCTGCCGTGGACCAATAAATTGTCGTCACGATCTACTGGGAACAGCTAGACATGACTGTCGTTCAACGATAAAATAAACTTCCATGACACAGTGACGACAGATAATCGTGATATGGTAACAGTCCAGACGCGACAGTCGTCCAACGATAAATAAAACTTTACGATGTAATGAGAACGCGCCCTCACAGAGGACATCTAGTATGCCAATCATCTACTCATCTGCATTTCAATAATGACATAAACACTAGTAAAAGTAAACATTACCTCTCCAGGGTTAAGTTCTCCACCAGGTAACTTGAAGAATGCAGTCCCCAGCTGCAACAGCAGCACGTGTGGCAGACCGTGTTCATGAACTAGAAGAACACCTTCTACTGACCTGTAAAACCAGTCTTTGTAAGATATTGTTATATTTGTTGTCCCATAAAGCACATATATTGAACTTCTACTTATTTATATTAACGGCCTAAATCCAAAACTTCACAGATGGATCCAAATCCCAAAAACCACCCTCACCCCCATTTCTACATAAGGTATTTTAAAATCTTACCCTTTGTAATAACAATGCATTAAAAGAATTTGTGACACAGCATGACTGTGTGTACGGTATCTTTAGCCTTTGTGCAATGTGTGAATAGTGCTGTATGGAGCAAAGAACCATAGTCAACTCAGTGAGAGCAAAATGTAATATGCAAATGTATGTAGTATGTGCTGTAGTTTGTACATTTACCTATATTGTATAATATAGATAAATATTGTACAAAATTTACCTATATTGTATAATATAGGTAAATATTACACAAAACTTAACTACATTGAATAATATAGCTAAATATTATACAAACTACAGCACGCACCAGCGCGAGAGAAACCAAAAAAGCTGAATGATGAAAAAAAAAGATGCTATAAGTCTCTATGCGTTAATACGCCGATTTTTTTATGTAACATGATTCTAGCCTTACATAGCTTTCGGGAAACACAGACGCAAAGTTAACTGTACCTTCTCATTCCAATTTTGGCGAACTCTTCCCTCATGCGTTGAAACCTTGCTGGCACCGACGCATCCTTCTCAAACAGCGGTTCCTTCGTCCCAAATGTATAATTAGTCAACGGATACAAATTAATCGTCCTGTTTAACGTTAAACTTGGTGCATTTTGACTATTCTGGTGTTGAAGACCCGGTCGTACTGGCCATGGCTTGTTTCCAGGTTGTCCTTGTACCGCTGCCATAATACACTTTTATTACACAATTTAAAAGTAAATTATATCTTTTAGGTAAATTTTATAGTAATAGATTGCGTTTTTCGAGCGAAATTATTCGTGAAATTAAACGAGAAACGTGAAAATCACACACGCCAAACAACCGGCAGCCATTAATTAATTTGTTTTTTGTTACTGTTGTTTCCATTGGAAAAGGCAAAGGCACTAATGCGCCATACAGCCAAGACTCAGAGTAATCTCTTTCTTGTATTCCATTACAAGAATTTAATGTCTTCGATAGTGCTTCTTACGAAATAATATAAAATTGGATAATATTCTTGATTTTTCAGGAGATCTGGTAAAGAAAGCGGGATGTTTTCAGGGGTTTTGTATAGTTCAAGAAGGTTATCGATCGATGAGGACTATTCTAGCGATAGAAAAATGTGGGCAATTGAAAAATATGTGATGCAAGGATTGGTTGGAGTAGTTACAGTAAGCGCACAATGGGGAGGAGATCATGTGCATTCTATGCAGGTGTTCATTGAAACGTCCATGACCAAGACGTAATCTACAAATAGTTGTATAGAACTTTCTATGAGAATAACATATTAAGAAGATATTATCTTCTTTTCACAAACCACGGCTGTTTAATTTCAGAGTTTATACCATGATACCAAGTGCCTTTTTTAAGTAACTTGTCTTTCATCAAGCACAGTCAAAATCCGATATTTTTATGTTTCTTTGTTGGACAATATCGGAGGTGGTGTTTGTGATATACTTCACTAAAGTATCAGGTTCTTCATTTCCAAGCACACCAATATGAGAAGGAGTCCAAATTAACAATATTTCTTTTCCTTTTTCGGACAAACTGTATATTTCTTCACTTTTATTGTAAATTAGATAGTTGATTTTAGCAGAATACGAAGGATTGTTGAAGGATTGTCCTGTAGAAGGATTGTCATGCTAGCAGTTATAATGATCCATTGATTATAGTCAGACTTTTCAATATATTGTAAAGCAGTTAATATGGCCGCAGCCTCTACGGTATAAATGCTCGTACTTTTCGGTAATTTAAAGCTATGATACATCTTTATTTGAATATCATAAAATGCCTTTGATACCGACATACTATTTTTAGCTCCGTCTGTATATAATTGTCTATATTTTGCTCTTAAATTCAATTCATTAATATAATAACTTCGTATTTACTGGCGATATTCTTATTTATAACTACTTTTATTTCATAAAATTTACTACAATATACATTATTTTCCTCTTTCATTGTCAAAATTTTACAAATATCATTTAGAACAATTTAGTGAACAATTTTTGTATCAGCTTATGTTTAAGAAACTCAAAACGCAAGAATAAGGGAGGCAAATTACATTCTACTTGCATATAATTAAAGGGAGATGTTTTCATGGCACCTAGGATAATTCTCATATTTTGGTTTTGTATTTTTTCAAGTTTATCAACTAATGTTTTATCTGACGCAAACTAAAATGACACATTATTCAAAATGACTTCTGACCATTGACTTACAATCTGACTAATGATTTGTAGAGAATAAGTAATATTTTGGGATCAGCGCCACACTGTGTACCAACAAGGGAGTTTAAAATATTGGTAGCTCTAAGTGCTCTTTCTATTAGCATCGACATATCCCTTCCACGTAAAATTTTGTTGAAAAATCACTCCTAAGAATTTTGTAGAAGCAACTACAGGTAATTTTTGACTATCATAATATAAGTCGAAATCTGATAAATCAACGTTTCGTTTCTTGAAAACTATAACTTTGCTCTTATTCTGACTAACCTCTAAGTTCAGGTAATTGAAATAATTACGCAACTTTATAAAAATATTGTTTAATTTAGATTTCAATTCAGAAAGAGAGGTCCCTTTGTATAAATAGCTAGGTCGTCGGCGAATTGGAGATTGTAAGCTGTCGGGTCAGATCCTAAAATTTCGTTTAATCTGTTAATATATAGGTAATATGTACATTAAAGGACTTAAGATACCGCCTTGACATACACCTTTATGAGATGAACGAGGGCCGTGGGACTTAAGATACCGCCTTGATATACACCGTTATGAGATGAACGAGGGCCGTGTAGCTTATTATTTATTTTAACGAAGATTTGGCGTTCATTTAAAAACTTGTAAAGCCAACTGTCCATTTTATATGGAATGCCTATAGGACAGGGTTGTTGCTAACACAGAAAGATGAATGTTATTGAATGCACCCACTATGTCGAAAAATATAGAAAATAGAAATTTATTATCATTTAGGGCTTTTTCATTGTCTACACAAAGACATCCAACACTCTCACAAGTCAAACATCCTCGCCTGAACCCAAATTGATTATTCGGTAAAAGATAATTACTCTCAATATAAAATTCCAAACGTTGTTTTAACAATTGTTCAAATATTTTGCCTACACAAGAAGTTAAAGCTATTGGACGATAAGAATCAGGGCTATCTTTGTTTTTATCAGGTTTTAATACGGGAATCAAGCAGTCAATTTTCCATTCGACTGGAATGATATTATTTAACCAGAGATCATTCAGAATTGCTATAAGTTTATTGAAATTACGACAATTTTTTTTTTTTTTTTAAAGGTGTGATTAAATAAGAATTGTAATCATTAAGACATGAATAAGAATGTGACGATATTAAGCGTGGCTCTACATAATCAGGAGTATATTTCTTAAGGAAATCATTTACCCAAGCATAATCATCATGGTGACCAGACTGAGAAGCAAAACATTTGTTAAATTTTCGCATCGTTTGCCACATCCTAGACATAGGTGATAATCTATTTAAGTCAGAACAGCAGTTTCCAACTTTCATTTCTTTCCTTTTTAATTACCTACCAGTTTCATTACAGCCTGTAATTTCTTAATATTTAAATAACATATGCTTCGTTACTATTTTGCACAGCCCTTGCGCAGCTTTCATTCCACTAGGGAACAGAAAGATATTGACAAAGTTTTAAATGAGACCTACCAACGTCATTATCATTTTGATTTTGTACATTAATGTTGTTTACATTGTGAATTTTCTTTTGATTTATCCTGTTAGAAACTGAATTTCTTATAGCTGATAAAATTAAATTACAAAAGTCCTTATATGAATTTAGTGGATTGTCAAATGTTACTGAGCATTGATTTAACATTTCCTTTACAAGCTTACAATAATGTTCCCAATTTACTAAACGTAAGTTTGTATGAGAAGATAAGTCAAGTGGATATGAAAAGTGTGGAACATAACTGTATAGTTGTTAATATGGGTAAATGATAACTACCTAGAGGGTCGTCATTGACACGTCATAGGCAATTCAATGCTATACTGGAGCTAACCATTGTTAAGTCTAGACCATTAGGTATCCAAATATCAGTACCTACTGTAGTTGCTTACGCACTATTCAATAAAATTAAATCACAGTCATCCAAAGACTATAATATAGCTCTTCTACGAGGGTCCTTGGAATTGCAGCCCCAAAAGAAGTGATGTGCATTAAAATCACCAGCTATATAAACTGGTTTCGGTAAATTATTGACTAGATGAGTAAATTTCTTAATATGGAATCTTGGATTGCTATAACAAGGACAGTAAACTGATATTATTATAATTTTTACCTTTACTGCTAAACTTTGCAATGAATTATCAAAAACTGTATCTACTTTCTCGTAATGTATGTAGTTTATTACTAATGATTATGGCTACTTCATTATGATTACACATTATTTGGCACTATCATTACGATCTATACAGTAACCTTTTATTTTCAATTTAAGCTCAGGTTTCAACCACGTTTCAGAAATAACTGCGATATCTATAGATTTAGCATACATGAATTTAGAAAGAATATGACGATTGCAAATCAAAGTTTGAGCATTCCATTGTAGTAATTTAATTTATTGCGTCATTTTGAAGAACTTTTATTTTTATTACAAAGAGTTTCAGATAAAACCTCAATTATGTGTTCAGAAGAAATTAAAGCATTTTGTGCTCTATTTAAAGTTATTATAAGTTTAATAATAGTTTCCAAAAGAATTTCCATTGACATTGTATCTGTATTTAAAATTGATAACAAATTGTGTGGTTCACGTTTTTTAGTAGGTGTCATAGCAATAGATTTTAGTTCTGGGAAACTTTTCTTGTCAAACAAATTTGCAAATGTTGGTGGATTATGTCCAACGACATTTCTGTTTTCTAATATCTTTTGTTGTTTTACTGGGCATTGCGCAGAAAAACTTATATGGTTCCCATTACAATGGGCACAAACTGCTTTCTCTTTCGGAATTCTACAGTCTTTGAAATTGTGATTATTGTTGTAAGTGGAGCATTTTTCAGCGTTCTTACAATATTTAGAAATATGGCCAAATGGCCATACCTTAAACATCGGTAACACTGTCTTACTGGCGGCACATACGGGGTAACGTTGTGTCGCCATGCATCGAGGTCAACGAAATCGGGAAGCTGAGTTGCAGCAAAAGTGATATATAACTCTTTATTGCACAAAGAAAAGATACATGAAACACAAGTTATAAAGGACATATACAAAGGTGAGCTTATCTCTAGAAGAGATCTCTTCCAGCCAACCCTAGCCTAGATAGCAATGGTCTGAGTCGGCTGTCGAGAAAAACCACCTTCTTCAATAAAGATTTCTCTGAAAAAACGTCTGATGCTTATATTTTTTTGTAACTTGAAAGAATAGTGAAAATTTTCTTATTGCTGTATTTAACAGGAACATTTCTGATTATGCCTGTGATTTCAATAGTTGAAGCAGGAATGTTAGCTTTAAAATTATTTTCTGGTAGATAAGTTTTGTTGTTCAAGAATGCATTAGCCAAATTTGGTTTTTCGAAGTAAACTCATATTTTGAATTTATTTATGGATCTCATGAAAATCACCCCTTTGTTGTACCGGCCTAAGTAATTGGATAGAGATAATAAATCCCTGGTTGCAATAGGTCTTTGTGAATAAGCAGATTCTACAAAGACCACATGCTCTGTGTACATTGAGTCTTCTTGGTACACTGAAGAGACAGAGAACTCTCCTCCCCTTCCTCTTCCGAATCCGATGAGGTAGACTCTGCTTGAGGGCCCTCAGCATTCTCTTTGTCAGGTTCATGGTTCTTGCATTTTATAGCCGCTTTATTACTTCCCATTCTTCATCACGTTGATAATTCCACTAAATGGAAAAAGCGCAATAGCTTGCTTTGACTTGGAAAACTAACGAAAAAAGTATTTTTCAAATAATGCCGCTTTCACAATTCCCAGGTTCCCGCCAATCAATTAATTTTGTTTTATTATTATTATTATTAAGAGTTTTGGCTTGGATACAAGTTCTTTGAGCCATGTCTTCGTTTAATTATCGGGATCCTCAGTAATATTTGCCATTATAGTTCTAAATTGTAATATATTATGTTTCCACTTTCTCTTAAATAACTTAGTTCACTTATTTGGGCTTATTAAATAGTCTTTTAAGCGGCGGGAGTCAATATTTATGTTTTACTTTCACTTAAATCACATTATCTTCTATCACTTTGAACAATAATTTTGAATTCGTAATTAGTGGAATTTTCAAGATAAGTTTCGGTTTTTTTTTCCTCATAAAATACTTAAAATAAAATTAATCTTTCAACTTTTGTATCTATGGCTCCGTTAATTTCGTAAAAATTGTACTCGTAACTTCAAAAACCCGCCATTTTTATTTAATAAAATAAACTTGTCAATGATTTTAGTGCAGCCGGGTAATTAATATTGATCAATCTTAACGGTTTTTGTAGATTGAATCTATAAAGTAAAAATTCATTATGGTGCCAAAATTAGCGTCATGTTGGTGGTATTGGCTGTCAGTATCAGTCACTGTCAAAAGTTTATTGTACCTACATGGTACGTCGTTGTTATTTTCGCTTTTTAATTTAAATTTATCATAATAATCTCAATTTACTGTTCTAAATTTGCATTCTAAACGATTTTTGAACATATTGTGATCACATAAAACTGCCTTTATAGGTGCTAACGTTAATATACTTGCACGTAATATTGTAATAAATTGTGACTGCTCAAGCTATTTACGATTTACGCCCTAATTGTGTTTAAAATTCTTGTATTGTGAACCAATAATGTTCGCGATAAGGCGTCAAGTGCAATTCTAAGGCGAGTTATTTACAATTTGTAAAGTATTCGGTACGTATTCGAATGCTACTTGGCTAATTGCTGTACAAGGTTGCTTAGAGCCCTATGGTACTTTCTATTATAATTTTTTTGCGTACGGTCCACTAATTTTCATTGGAGTATTAGTCATATTTGTAGATAATATTAATAAATTCAGTTGATTATTTTTCAATATTTTTTTTAACTAATTATATTTGTCGTGATTTTTAATTTTTAACACTATAGTTTAAAAGGTTTGCGTTGTCTGTTTGTGGATTCTCGTCTGAATGAAGTCTTGTTAGGACTAGGACTGAGACGCACTTTCTTTCAATTTAGTGAAAAAACTCTTTCATGCAGGTTTCATTTACTAAAGAAACGACAGTTTCAGAAAACGAAACCAACTCACACTACAAGTTAAGTATGTATGTATTATTCTGCAAACACATTACATTACTTGTGTGCGCCTGGAAAGAAAACAGTTCATTTGTTCATGATTCATTCCAACAATGCTTTACAGCGTTCATTTTATAAAATAAAGTCCCCAAAACAGTTTTAAGAAACTTTTTCCTGACCATTCGTAACTGTTTCACTGCTTATTTGTAAAATGGATCTTATGCTAAATGCATTCAGTTGCTATTTCTATGACAAATTAGACCGCCTACAGTGCTCCTGAACATTTAGTCAATAAGGGTTAGTTAAGAGGTTAGTTTTATTTTTGGAAAAGTTTTTTTATGTAACTGTTTTTTGAAATCATTTCTTTTTAGAAAATAACCGTTTTGTTTTTCGATAAAGACATTATAACACAGCTCTAGTGTGGACTTTAGAATAATTGATATTGAAATAGAGGGGGGAAATAAAAAAACTTGATGAATATCAAAAAACGCAACACAAAAAGCTCAGTTAATGTGCTTTTGTGGGACATTGTTTGTATTAGCTAGTGCCAAATGTATCTTCTGCTTTTGTCACTTGCAAAAGTTATGATGTTGTAACCTTGGTTTCCTAAAATAGAAAATCAGTGGGGGGCGCCCTGTGAAGACAGGAGTCTTCTATCTTAGAAAATCTCGACAAAAAAAGTTTCCATTACGAGAACAACAATGATTCTTAAGTCGTCGTGACAAGGAACAATAAAAATTTAAATCAAAATTCAAAACAAACACAGGCAACCTACATAGAAGGTGTGTCAGCAAAAAGGTTTTCCAACACCACCTCTGATATGAGCAATCATAATTAATAATAGAAACATAATGCGAGAGTACAATAATAATTCAATAACCTAAATTAAAACTAAAGATTTTACAAACAACTCATGCTTTGCCTTAGGCAAGGCTTTTGTAGACAGATCAACATCTAACTCTGTTGAAAGCTTGTACTTTAAACAGACTACTTTATTGTCAACACATTCTTGTATGAATGTCTATGTGTTTAGTTCTTCGAAAACATTCAACCTATGTAGAAGGTGTGTCAGCAAAAAGCTTTTCCAACACTTCCTTTGACCAGGTCCACCACCAAATATAATATCAACACCGAAGTCTACATCACGTGTTCTAAAGTTGAGTTGAAATCTGCCATCAGAAATTAACGGTCCAACTCTGAGTTATAAATATGTGCCCTTGATGTTGTTGGAATCATTGATTGTATTGATGGAGCTACATCATTTCACTGAGTGAAATGATGCATTAAATGAGCTTACAACACCTTGTAGGTACAGTATAATGACATGTTTCGGTAGCTACAGGCTTTATGATAACATCAAATTGGATTTTGACATTATTTTGAAGTTAGACATAGTCTGAAGGAAGCTTCACAATGGTTTTAGTTTTATAAAACCAGAGGTATTCAAACAATTAATTTGAAAATCATGGACAACTAAACACAACAGCACAATTGACACTAGCTAGTGCATGGCCCATGGCACAAAAAACAAGTTTTTATTTATTGAATTACTATATTCCAAATTCATTTGTGTTCATGAATGATTATTTTTTGCTTCATATAAAAAATAAAAACAAAACCAATTTAAAACAGTTTAAAAACCATTTGAAACATAAAATTTATTTAAAATATAAGGGCGCTTTTAAATAAGACGCTTATATAAGCGCTGCAGTGGCGCCAGTGTGGCGCTGCAGCCGCGCCACTACTAATTTTCATACAATATTTAGAAGCACAGTTGCAGCATCACTGTCGTGACACGCACGCACCACTATTGCAGACACAAATTAGTGAATTAACAATTACTGAAGCGCTACAGACGCACGGCTGCCGCGCCACATTTCTATCTCTGCAGCGCTTCTACAAGCGTTTAATTGAAGGCGCCCTTAGTGTTTATTACACAAAATTATAATAATACTAAATTATATATACTATATATACTAAATTAAATGCAACACCGTCTTGTACATGATTTGTTTTAAATTATTTTTTATATTATTATTTTGTAACATTAAGTGACAGGACGAACAAGTCGTGTGCCTGCTGGTGAGAGATACGCCTGTCCCTAACAGTTGCAGTGCCACTCAGAGCTTTGAATCACATAGATCAGAGGAGCACTACTACTGCACCCAACACTCTAAGACATAAGTTGACAAGTCCACGTGCCTGTAATTTGTGTCTGTAGTAATTCCAAGACTGGATCAACTAAGACTTTGTAACGATGGGGCACTAAAGGTATGGTCCCATACAAAAAATACACTTTTAATTTTTTTCCTACTAAACTATTAGATTTATGGCAAAATATGATATGACAATATTGAATTTGAAAATCACACAAAGTTCACCTATTCGAAATTGAAATACTTGCCAGTTCTAAACAAATACATAATTACAAATCAAAAACACACTTAAGTGTTCTTGTATATGTAGATGCTATTTAAATACGCCTTGAATTTCAAGGCTTATTTAAATGATTATTTGACATTGTATTTGATGATGTCATATGTTGTTACGTTGTATTAGTTACCACTTTCACTATCTAGTCCTTCTTTCTGTGCATATACAACTCTTTGTTTTTTTTTTTGGGTCATTTTTGTTGTTGTGCTCCACACGTTTAACAAATCCAATTTTGAATGATTTTGATATTTCTATCTGAATATAATGTTTTTTATTGATAAAGACTAGTTTGGCTACTGCTGTACGTTATTTAAATATTTCTACGGACCGTGAATCTCCTGTAATGAGGATCTAAATACGTTGCAATTGATACAAGTATTTTGCCATTCCACTCACACAAGTGCTTTTTCCTTTTTCAGTGTACAAAGAAATTGTAATAAAATGGAGAAAGTACAGAACTCAATTTCGGTGCGAACAAATGGAGAAAAATCTCATCAACGACAAAACTTTAACAATGGAACGTCATCGTCCAGCGAAGGCACACCAAATACCGACCCAGTCGCAAAATTCAACAACTTTTACAAACAACGGTATTCAAATGGTGAGAGACGACCGTTTTTAAAATTTCAAATTTGACAGATGAATGAAATTGACAATCTTAGTCTTGGTATAATAAAGTCACATATGATTAAACTACTTTTATGACATGAAAAAAAAAAAAACAAATTAAGGATTGGCTTTTCTTCTGAGCATTTATTAATGTTAACACCGAAGTAGCAGTAAAGCATAACTTGGCTTGACTATAACGTGTTACTGTTATAGTCAAGCGTATACAATAAATAATTCTTAAGTTATTTATTGAATACGTTTATATGTATATTAGAGGCGCTGAGAAACACTCCGCCATTTTGCTAAGCTACAGTCCGCCATTTTGTTGAGCTACCTTTATATTTCCCACCAGTAAATATTGTCTGTTGCTAAACTCTAGATGTAATGTATTTTTTATTTGTTAATGTGTTGAGAGTTGAAGTTTTATTATTATCGTATTATATTGGTGAAGTTCACTAATGCCTAGTTGCTTTTCTTAGAGCTTTAATTTGTTTTTTTTTTTCTTGTTAATTGGCACTCACGTGTTCCTTATTGTGAAAAAACTACTGTTTTTTTCTCGAAAAAAAAACACTTGTAAACCGAAAAAATATTGCAGGTCTTTGTAGTAACAGCTTTTGCAGGTATTAATATTTTAATTAATATTCACGTTTTGAGTTTCATAAACATTTGTTACCTTTTTAAGCTAACGACTCTATCATACCCATCTACGATCCACGACTATATCTTACCCAATGCTCAATAAATGAATAAATATCGCTTGAAACCTACTACCAAGAAGACTAGTAAATAAAAGGTACGGTAGGAAGGATCTAGTTCCGTTGGTTTACAGGGAATATTCGAACAAAAGTGAATTCAGCTTGATGTGCTGTTAACTGAACAAATTAAATAAATAAATAACGCACACACTCAACATAGCCCCGCACTAAGGAAACCCTGGGTCGCGGGTGCCATGGACACACACATAGACAACCACAAATTACACCCAAACTCACGAGAGAAATAATTGTAGGCCATACAACTATTTCTCCCGGCCCAGGATTCGAACCCGGGACCTCTGCGTGGCAGTCGGGCATGGTAACCGTTCGGCCACGGAGGCAATTAAATAAGAAACATTTTTACTCTAGCAAATAACATTAAAATACGTTTTTTTTTTTGTTTTTTTAATGTATTTCATATTCGTTTAGTCGAAATACTACAAATAATAAACACAGAAAAGCGACAGTAATTTTAAACAAAATATTATTTGAAGCTGGTAAATGTTTTAGATCGAATATATATGAAATAATAATAATAAATAACGCACACACTCAACATAGCCCCGCACTAGGGAAACCCTGTGTCGCGGGTGCCATGGACACACACATAGACAACCACAAATTACACCCAAACTCACGAGAGAAATAATTGTAGGCCATACAACTATTTCTCCCGGCCCAGGATTCGAACCCGGGACCTCTCCGTGGCAGTCCGGCATGGTAACCGTTCGGCCACGGAGGCAGTTAAATAGAGATCGAATACTAAGAAAATATTCCTTCGACCCGGCTGGATTCGAACCAACGTCTTCCAGCAAACCGTGTCAGACGCTATGCTAACTAGGCCACGAAACGAACTAGCGGACTCTACGAATTTTTCGATATGCTTGTTGCAGATCTTTATTTTTGGATTTTTAACGACTTTTTGGTCGTAGAGCCATCTGTGAGAAATCTACTTCATCACTCAGCCAGTTACCATTGTTATTTTATCCTCAGAATCAGCAGCATCGGACAACGAGATCCCCGAACCGAGAAAACCAAACCCGATTCAATCGAGAAGCCATTACAAGAGCATGGGCAGCATCACTGAAAGTTATAGAAAGGATTTCAACTGCAACGTGAATGTACCAAATAGTATAAGCAATATAGATTTAAGCCTCCACAGTGAAGAGATAAAGAAATTCGACTCACTACAAATACCTATCGTAGGTTATGAGGTCATGGAGGAACGAGCTCGCTTCACTATATACAAGTTAAAAGTTGAAGATGATAAACGCGACCAGTCTTGGTTAGTATTCCGCCGATATACAGATTTTGTTCGCTTATACTCACGTATAAAATCCGAACAGCCTAACTTAATGTTACCATTACCAGGTAAGCGATGGTTTAGGGATAACTTTGAACCAGCGTTCTTGGAAGAACGAGTAAGGGGGTTGCAAATTTTTGTTAATGCTATATTGAGTAAATTGCCCAACCACCCGGTTGTAAGGGAGTTTTTCTGTCTCGATGAACCACCTCAGGTTTTTAGCTACCAACCTGAGGTTCAAGCGGTGTATGGAGCGTTGGAAGACTCGATAACGACTCTGAAAATGAAGTTGAAGCAGAAAGATGCAACTATAATGCATATGCAAAAGCGTCTAAATGCTCTGGAAAGACAGGCTAAAAGTTGTTCAAACTGTAGTACAAACAATGATATGTGATTTTTGATATTGTAGCATTTTTTTTTGGTAAGATAATAGGTTAAGTTGCTTGCAGAGCAAGATTGAATTATGATATCTTTAATATGCAGCTGTTATATATATATAAGAAAACGTTGTGTAATAATACGATTCATATTCAAATTGATGTTGATAATTTAAACATTTCCATGTATCGGATGTCTATGTTTTGTGAATTTTTCTACTGGCAGCCATGAATTTAGAAAAAGGGTGGATTCTAACGTCCTATCAAGGTAAATGGGGTTCGGGGACACTTTTGATGCCATGGAAAAGCTCTGGAATAACCGCAATTTGGAACGGAGACGAACAGCAAGCTGTCAAGTTTCATGTAGGCTGAGATTTGTAAAATAATTTTAATTTCGACTTATCAAACATAGCGAGATGGGCAAGTTTTTCGTATTTACAAAACAAATTTTGCCCAGTTTAAGCAAAAGACTCAAAATAATTCTTGCTTAAACTTAGGCAAAGCTTGTTTTGTAGAAGAGAAAAAATTCGTTTTGTTAATACGAAAAACTTGTTTCTTAGCTTATCTTTGTGCTCAGTCGAAGTCAAAGTCGTTTATAAATCTCGGCCTAAAATATTGGCGCGTTATACACCGAGTCGTGCGTTCCAGTTGACCGCTAAAAAAAGCCCTAGTATCTTATAAATAACGTGGCACTTTTGCACATAAATATAAATCCGCATGTTACAATTATCACTATATAAAATTCAGAAATATCTTTTCATAGATAAACAAATCACTCTTGAAATTTATTGAACACTACCTTTATGTTAATAAAGGTTCAATTATGATAGAACGTTCATAAATCACTGGCCACATACATAGAACGTTTAATCGAAATTAAAAGACAATGTATTTTTTCTTTAAATCTTTTTCACATATATTTTTTTTATTTATTTATTGAGCGTTGGTTACAAACCATCAGCTTAAAGATATAATAAATAATGCAAATATCAAAATTTCGTGTAAAAACAGTAATTATAAAAACCAGCCCTTTTTTGTCACACATCATTTGCCCCATATATGATTTGTGATATTGTGAAGACAACTGTTAAGAACAGCTGGCAATTTCTATCACTATATTTAAAAAAAAAAAAAAAACATTTCATATTATGTACTGTGATGCCAGTGAAAGGATGTTGATTTCTTTTAACTTCTCTGTTCTAAATTATAATTATGTGCAAAATTTATATGCCACGTAATATAAACTTATTAGAATATAAAGTCATAGGGGGCGTCCATATACTTCTGAACCTTGATAATTATGTTGGAGCGGATATTAAGTTTTGATATTATTACTCCTTAAATATCAGAATCTGTAAGTAGATAAGAAAAACTATTTCCATCCATTCAAATGTATGAATTAGAACTACATATTTAGAATGGAACTGCAAATTTATTTTAAAATTGATACTAATTCTCTACAAAACTGAAATGGTTTAAATTTTAATTTTATTCATGTAATGATTGTCCTAGGTGCTACGTCAAGTCATTTTACGTTAACGTTATCTTTCGTTTAGACAATACTTATTTGGCATTTAATATCTAAACGTAGTTGGTACAAATTATTGTATTTAATAATTTTATTATAAGTTCTGTTCTCATTTAAAATGTTAAAGTTGGCTATTCACAATCCTGCGTGCTGCCCTGCAGAAAAGGAAGCACTAATACCGTGGCCACTACACGGTAAAAAAATAGCAAGTTTTCGCATAAATGCGTCTGTATTTGCAGGATTATGAACTTGAGAAGTCATCTTCGTTTTTAGGTAATACCAATTCAGGAGACATTTTAATGTTAATTTGTCCCTATACACTGTACACTCGGTTACATCTCAATATTAAACTCGTAAAATTTTTGTTACTAACTTGTTATTTATTTAGTGTTAAAATTTGCAGTTTATAAAAGTGAGTTCGTATTGTTTGACCAGTAACTGAATGTACATAATCCACAATCTTAGGCCATGTAAGTGTCATTGGCAAGCGTGGATTAAGGCAATCGAGAATAAGCTTCTTTGACTAATAAGAAAATTGCGGACCATGTTACATAGGGAGGTCAAAGAAAAGCTTTACATAGATCAGAATAAATGCGATTGATTGGTATTTAAAAAATTTAGTTTAGTTAAATATGTGCGCATTGTATATCAACATAATATTAGGTATAAAAATGCATGCGATATTACAACGTTCTTCTCTTTATTGAAAAGATCTGTTGGGTAACAATATATTACAAAAAGATTTGTGCAAATTTAAGTGTATTTTTAAAATTATACATAATATTATTTATAACACACATAAAGTGCCTTAGATATAAATAATATAATGTTATATATGTAATTATTGAGCTAGATATTCAATAAGTCCAATTGCATACAACATGTTGAACAATTAAATGTTGAATAATGAATAGCTTTATTGCAGCTGGTGTTTTTAAACAAAATGATATTGTGGTTAGTTGCTAGATGCAATTTGTCACTTTCACATTTACTCACTTTATGTTAGTTATGTAACGTACAAACTAGATACGAGACGGCAGCTGCAGGAATTGCGAAAATTGTCCAAAAAACGTGTGATTTGTTTTTTGGTTAGTCACAAATTTGTACGTTACATACTTAGCATAAAGTTGATTATGCTATGTTTACAAAAATCTCTTCCTATCTGTCCCGCCGCATTGTTAATTAACCCTTAAGAGGTCTTGTTTTGGTGCATAATCCATCAACTTATCCGCTGTCTTGGCGGAACCAATGCCCAAAATACTCGAAGTACAATTTAATTATAAAAAAAAACAATAAATATTTTATAGGAATATGAGCTTACCGAGCGAAAGTGTGTTTTATAACCGAAATGTTGGTATAGTTGGAAGAAATATTATTTGCACCGATGAATATTATTATCTCTTGGAACGGCTTATCCTTACTATTACTAATGATCTTGATCCATTGTATGAGTCTAAATGCTATTTCTGAATTCTAGTTTTGAATTATTTTTTCACTTATCAGGTCGTTTTTTTTTAAAACCTTTAATTAGTTCGTTAAATACCGACTGCTGACTCTTTTCTTACTAATTCAACAAAGTTACTTCCGCCTAAAGAATATCGAATTTAGAATTACGTGCCAATACGTAAAAGTGTTTAAACTAGTTGTTTGCACTATACAACGGCACGTGCGGTACCGAGTCGGCTCACTTTTCCGTCCTATTGTATTCTAAATATAAAGCATTATGACGAATCGGTACAAATTATATTTCGCCAACTATAGACTGAAAAATCTTAATCTGGCATAACTTTAATAGTAACACTGCCAGTGTCGACTGTACATATGGTGCAGGGTGTACGGCGCCTTCAGGCTGTAGAAGCTCCAAAGGGCCTGGGTCGTAAACTTAGTAAACGGGCTCATCATTACCAGGTCATCCGCCCATCTAGTAGGAAGCCGTCCCACTGAACGCCATCCGGTTCGTGGACTCCATTCGAGATCCTTTCTGCCCTAACGGCCGTCAGTTCTACGAGCTATGTGCCCTGCCCACTGCCACTTCAACTTGCTAATCCTTCGAACTATATCGGTGACTTTCGTTCTTCTACGGATCTCAACATTTCTGATTCGATCAAGTTGAGAAATACCGAGCATTGCTCGCTCCGTAGCTCGTTGAGTGACTTTGAGCTTTTTTATGAGGCGCATAGTAAGTGACCACGTCTCTGAGCCGTAGGTCATCGCTGGCAATACTCACTGCTAGAAGACTTTTTTCAAGGACTGCGGATGAGAAGACGTCCCGGAGCTACCCCAGAGCTGCCCAACCGAGTCGGATTCCACGATTCTCTTTCTCGAAGTTGGCTCTGCCTAATTGGATGGTTTGTCCAAGGCACACAATACTCGTCAACAACTTCGAGAGTAGAGGTTCCCACTGTTATAGGGATGGGTACGACATGGACATTCGACATAAGTTTCGTCTTGTTCATGTTCATTTTTAAACCCACTTGCTGGGAAACCCTATTGAGGTCACCGAGCATGTTGTCAAGCTCTTCCAACGATTCTGCAATGACCACGATGTCGTCAGCAAATTGAAGGTGACTGATGTACTCGCCATTGATGTCGATGCCGAGTCCTTATCAGTCCAGTAACTTGAAGGCAGTGATTGGAAGGAAGAATCTTCCAATGCACTAAACGGGCTATTGCATCCTAACATCATTTATAATAGTGTTAGGAACGTCTCTGCACGTACTGCCAACCGACTGTCATACCTGCCAACAGTCAGTGACGAATACTATACAAGGCGTTGCAAATCAAATCAACGGTTTCTCTCCTAAGCACGCTCTTCTGGCGGAAGTCTTCAGTAGCGCCCTGAGCTGAAGTCCGTGCCCACTTGGGCGCCCTCAGACCCGCTAGTTAGTTTTAAGTTTATCTTGCGGGTTATGAGCTTTCAGCTCGCCCTTTTTTCCGGTGACGCAGTCAAGGCCATCAGCGGCCAACAAATATCCTTACAAACACCCAACTGCCTTTTTTCTGGTGTGCTCTCGACGCGCCTGTCGTGGATTTGTGTAGCGTCTCGTGCTTTTCAAGTTTGAACGTTGGATTTTGTAAACGATTTTTATTTAATTGAAATTTCTTGATTTCTGGACGTTTTTATGATTTTTGGTGGAGGATTTTGAATTTCTAACAATAGCACCATTTGTATCCGAATTCTAGTGGTACCACTATAGCGCTTTTATAAGCGTCTCATTCGAAGGCGCCCTTGGATCGGTCGTTTTCGGACTAGTGTTCACTAGCTAATTTTCGTAGCAATTTTTATTATTTCATTTATAAAGTATTCGATTTTTTATCGTGCAATATTATATTTAATATTCGAGTATTGTATCGTGAAATATTATTTAATAATTACACGATAATGTACTTGAATATTTAAATTATAAAATTGCCACGGAACTTAGAATTAAAATTAACATAATAAGCCACATCTAGTATAAGCAGTGGGTAGCGTAGTCTGTGAATACAGCCATGGTTGAGCTTATAGTTAGCACCACCGGCGATATCGTGTTGTCTGTTATTATTATATTTAGAATGCGGGTAAAACTTGATTATTGTATAGTTGAAGTACCGTGCTTGTATGTTTTCTAAAAAAATATTTAAAAAAACTAAAACTTAAAATAAATATTCCCCTAATACTCTACTACACTCCCACAATCAAGACGAAATAACGAC